GCGGTGTGGGGGGGGGGGGGGGGGGGGAAACAGCGAGGGGCGAGCGGCTCCCCGCTCACCCCTGGATTCAGTGCCGGTTTGGGGGGGAAGAGGAGCTGGGGGGGAGAGGCAATGGGGGGAGATGGAGGGGGTGGAGGACAGGGGGAACCAGCAGGATGGGGGGTACTTACCTCCTCCTCCTGCTTCCTCCTCTGCCTCCCCCCCCCATGAGTATCGCGGGTCCACCCCTTGTGTTAATATAATCCTGACCTTGATGGCCCATGCTAGCTTGATCTTGTCAGACCTTAGAAACTAAGCAGGGTCAGCACTGGTTAGTACTTGGATGGGAGACTACCAAGGAAGTCCAAGATTGCTGTGCAGAGGCAGGCAGTGGTAAGCCACCTCTGTCATCTCTTGCCTTGAAATAAATCAGCTTTGATTTGACCGTACTTTCCACCACCATGTTGATGTAACTGTAGCAGTATGTGTATCAGGTTCTCTGAATTCCCAGCTTTCACTTTTTATTTTAAGTAAGTCTATATCCCATTCCTTTGTGGAGATATAAAGAGTAGGATGTATATCCACAACAGAAGGAGATAAAGACTTACTTTTTAAAATGAAAGCTTGGAATTCAGAGAACCTAGTTACACATATTGCTTTATTGTTACATTGAGATAACACTATTCAATTGTCATTAAAATAAAATAAAAGCCCCTTAGTGGTGGGGGAGGAAATGGGCACTACTGCAGCCAACAAACCCACCCACCATTTTCCAACTGAGGGGTTGGGGTCTTCTGCCTATAGTACCACTAGTGGGGGGAAGCCTTCAACAGGAACAATGCAGAAGAAGAAGAAGAAGAAGAAGAAGAGATTGGATTTATACCCCGCCCTTCACTTGGGAGTCTCAGAGCGGCTTACAAACTCCTTTCCCTCCCCCTCCCCACAACAGACACCCTGTGAGGTGGGTGGGGCTGAGAGAACTCTGACACAAACTGCTCTTTTTCAAGGACAGCTGTGCCAGAGCTTGCGACTGACCCAAGGTCACATCAGCAGGTGCAAGTGGAGGAGTGGGGAATCAAACCCAGTTCTCCCAGATTAGAGTCCGCGCACTTAACCACTACACCAAACTGGCAATGATTGGAGGCTAGGTCTACTTGATCATCACCTGTTAGTCAACATTTCTTTTCCCAAAGGAAGAGAGGTGCCGACAGCTTTTCTGTGGGGCAGCTTCCTCTCTCGCCCTATTCCTGTGCCTCCCCAAAACCATTCCAGTACTCCATGAGTTAAATTTTCATTACTCCTGGAATTTTAGGAGTGTTTGTGGTCATTTCAGGTGTCCCCAGGTTGACCCAAAACAGCTTTGAATATAATTTTGACTTGGGTATAACTGAATGCATATCTGTAGTGGGGGTGGGGTGCAGCCCCATGCAAGAAGTGGCATAATTCCCCTTTTCTCTGTTATTTAAAACACTGACTAGCCACCTTTCTGCCTTGCAGAACTCCAGGTGGCTTACAATAAAACAACAATTATAGAAAACACATACAAGCACATACAAGACCACAATTTAAAAACTAAATTAGTCAAATATAGTCCTAAATATAACAGTCTTCAACTGCATCTTGAAGATAGAAAGTGAGAGGGCCAGGTCACCTCTTTGGAGAGATTGTTTCATAATGGTATCGTCAACTTCTCTTTGACAGATACAGGAAAATAATCTGATTACTCCATCCACTTAATCATCGGGCACTATGGTTCCAGTCATATTAAATCTGATGCTTCAGGGTTGTTGTTGTTTTAATAGAGTGAGAGCACTTAAGTGTTTAGGCTAATTCAGTTACTTAACCTCATAACACTAATGGTTGTATGTCTTTCCCTGAGCAACATGCAAAAAATGTGCAATAACACACGTACATACGATGTCCATTAAAACAAACCTATATAGTGTTTCCCTAATTGTAGCATCAGTGGCTGAATTGAAAAGGGAGAAACAGCCAATCCTTTCATAATTGCTTCACCTTGCACTATTTTAGTTTTTAATAAAGGGTGAATAAAGAATAAAGTATTTATAGTAGGAGGTGAATATAAAGCATGTCTAATTTAAACTAGAAATCATTAGATACTATTGGAGAAAAGTTGCAGAGAGAAAGATGGAATACTGACATGGATAAAGTCTTTTGTTCTTCCATTTAAGAAATGGTTCCTTTTGAGTAACAGTTTGGTAGACAATTTAGAGCTTCATAATGCAATCCTACGCTCTGTCTCTGAACAGCTTAGGATGGCAACCATCCTTGTTGCTAGCCAGGGGTCATTTCATAGAAAAAGAGGTGCAGGAGCTCATTAGCATAACTCATTAGCATATATTATTTGCATATGCCACACACCCTGACATCACCTGTTTGGAGGATGGACTCTATAGAATTATGCCTCATGAAGGTCCCCAAACCCTGTCCCCTGCAGACTATACCGTAGGGTTGCCACGTCCCCCCTGCCAACCAGCAGGGCATGGGGGGGTAATGTTGCCAGATCCAGGCTAGGAAACTCCTGGAGATTTTGAGGTGGAGCCAGATCTCCAGGCATTTCTCAGCCTAGAGTTGGCAACCCTACTTGGCATGCTGGCCCTGGAAGAGCTGCATTAAGGCAGTCAAAGGCTTGTGATTGATAAGTGCAAGGTTTGCACAAAAGGGGGGGGAATCTTGACCTACTGAAATCAATAACAAAACTACAATCTAGTTGAAAGCTTATCAGATAAGCCTGGGACATTATGCACCAAAGGGAAAAAAATATGGACTGAGAGAGAAAGACAGAGAGAGAAACAGAAAGACAAAGAGAGACAGAAAGATAGAAAGAAAGAGTAAGAGAGACACGGAGAGAGAGTGACAGAGAGAAAGAGAGAGAGAGAGAGAGAGAGAGAAAGAAAGAAAGAAAGAAAGAAAGAAAGAAAGAAAGAAAGAAAGAAAGAAAGAAAGAAAGAAAGAAAGAAAGAAAGAAAGAAAGAAAGAAAAGGACAGAGAGAAAGAGAGACAAAAAGACAAAGAGAGAAAGATCCAGGGGTGGCCTGCCTCAGCAGCTGGAGGCTCCCTCTCGCTGGTGCCCATTGGGGCTTGACTCTGCCGCCTCTTCCTCCTAACGGGACTGTTGGGGCTGTGGGTGTCAGATCTCCTCCCTCTGGCACTGCCCCCTCTCTGCCCAGCTTCTCCCCCGCCACTGCCACCAGAGCACAGAGAAGAAGGGCCGAGGACAGTGGGCAAGGCCGAGCTAGCAATGGTACCATGTGGGCCAAGGAACGGGTGGGTGGGAGGGCGGGAGCAGAGCCGGTGGGCTAGCCTGACAGAGGCAGACACCTGGCAGGGGGAGGGGAGAGGAAGGACAAGCCCCCCCCCAGATCCCAGAGTTTATTCCCGGGGCGCCCAACCCATCCCCACACACCCCAAGTCCTGCCGGCTTCTCTGACAGGCAAAAGGGAGGGAGCAAAGCCCACAGCTGGTCTGCTGCAACGGCTGCAGGCCGGGAGGCGCCTGCGGGGCTTTGGCCTGGCTCAGAGGCGGGGTGGGGGTTTTGCCTTGCCAGTGGGGGTCCCATGGTGGCCAGGTGGCGCAGGGCGATCCAGGGAAGGCACCTCCAGGGTATGAATCCAGGAGGGGGGCACTGGCCTGCCCTACTGGCCGGGTGGGGCTGCTGCGGGTGGCAGGGGGGTGGACCGGGTCCCGCTGGGTGTCTGGTGGGGGCTGGGCTGCCCTGGCCACCTCTTGCCCAACCAGTCCGATGGCTCCGCTCAGCGCACGGCCAGGCTTGAGCACGGTTGGCCTTCCAGGCACCCCCGGGGACTCACACTGTGCTCTCTAAGCTGCCTCGACACGGCTGCCTGGAAGACGGGGCAGGGTGAGGAGGACGGATGGATGGACGGGGACAGCGGCAGCTACAGCTCAGGGGTCAGTCAGAGGGATGGAGTTGCTTCGCCTCATGCCCCCCTTCTCTAGTCATGATGCCTGCGGAACGCCTCTGCCCCCTGCTCCTCCTGGCCCGACTGAGGGCTGCTGGGGGCAGGGCTTGAGGGTTTGTTACTGCCAGAATGCTATTCCGGCTGGAAATGACCCCTGTTGGTAGCTAGCATCAGTAGCTGGTGCTTCTTCACATTACATCACTGTAGAGTTCAGTTGCCCCTCCCAAGCAGTTTCACAGCAGCCTTCGGATTGTACCCATACCTGTAATTGTCGTCTCTCTCTATAGCGACCTTATCACTGAGTTAACTGTTTACAAGTTATCTATTTTACAAAGCAGAACAAAAATCTAGTCTCCATATATATATAGATAGGAATGACTGGCATTTTCATGCGATAAGAGTGCAACATCAAGGTTTGGGTTGAGGTGCAAATTAAGAAATACTGGTGAGAGTTTTGTGTAAGAGGCATTTGGGATTAAAATGAGACGAAATCTAAAGAAATGGTCAAACATAAAAATCTTTTAAAGCAGCATTCTGTCAAGTTGCACCATGTAGGTTGTATCGTGTGAGTAATGCTGAAAATGACATCTCTATGTCACTTCTTTCCCTTTTGTTTAAATAGCAACATTTACCTTGTATCCTTTAGTCATTGTGTTCTCTGTCTTTCATATTCTAGATGCTGACAGGCAAGATTCAATTAATCTGTTTCTGGGGGTATTTCAGCCTGAAGAAGGGAAACCTCATCTCTGGGAGCTACCTACTGATTTTTATTTGCATCAAAAGGATACAGTTAATCTTGTCCAAGCAAGACGAAGGTATTCACAGTTCTGCAACTGTTAACTTTTTAATGTAGGGATATTGTAAAAGATTAAGGACTCGATTCAGGGTCAGGCTTAGTGTTTTCCAGTAATATTTTATCATTTGTGTTTCTATGCTGTCAAGTTCCCTTTTGGAGCTAATAGGCCCAGGGTTTCATACTCAATAGAAATCAAGGGGGAGAAGGCTAGAGGAGTGGCACTTTTTGATCTCTCTCCCCCCCCCCTTTAAAAATCTGGCTATACGTGTGCTGGAGCTCACTTACTTTTATTAAGCTACTTTTCAAATGTTCCCTTTTGGCTGGGAAAGATGCCTCCCTCCCCCTCTCTCCTGTTGCCTAGGAAACCTGTGGGGGGGGGGGAACAGGCCTGACATCCTCAAATTCAACCCCAGATATTCTCCAATATTTCCAGAAATATTTGGGACCTGAATACTGATATTGCCAAAAATCCCATATATCATCCCAATACACCAAATATACTTGAAAAATACAGTGTTTTTTCAGGTATATATTTGAATCAGATATAACCAAGCACACACATCCCTAACCCCATTAATCACAGGCATATTGATCCTCTCCAAACTAACCATTCCCTAACAGCATCCCATTTTATCTGGGTTCAGCTTTAATCTGTTAATTTATATTATACCCACCAGTTTTCAGACACTGATTTAGCACAGAAGCAGCAGCTCCTGGACACTCTCTTAATAACATATAGAGCTAGGTGTTATCAGATCCTCATACCTGTGCATAAAATTAATTATGCCTCACTTCAGTTATCAGATTTATGAACGAATGGTTAAGTGTTCTGTTTCATATCTCCTCATCACCACCAGAGATTGACATTTTTAAAGAAAAAATGTTAGGAAAAAATGCAAAATTCACTTACCAATTTCTTCTGTAACACTCAAGCCATCATACTAATATCCATTCCAAACAAATGTGTTACTTTATCTTTTGTTTCACATTTTCACTAGCCAGCGTTCCATGTTACTCTTTGTTAGAAACTAGTTTTGTGTTCTCAGTATTTAAAAACATGGTGTTCCTTTAATGTCAGCATATGCTGAAAGCTACATTTATATACAGATTAGTTAGTAAATACCCGTGTATGTCTTTGTTTTCCTCCTAGTATTCATTTATTTATACATGTGTTCTTGCTGCAATACCTTTAAATATAATTCTAAATAGAAAAGCAAAGTTTGAAGCAAGGCAAAACCTTATATTTAGTAACATTTCAAACCAAGTTGTTTAAAGCATAATATGGCATCAAAAAGTTTGTGACAGTTATTTTTGAACCTTTCATCTCTTTAAACTGCCTTTCAGTTGTTAAGTATTTTTTTTATTATTTTTATTAGGTTTTTATACATTAAGCAACAGACACATAAAACAACAACCAACATATATATCCCTGCACTGATTAAGCCCTTATTGCACACTTAGACAAGATTTCTTATACCACACTTATTTTCTATACAACACAGATTAATATAGCCATCATTCCTTCATTAATCAAGTTTTCCATCCAGTCTGCATTGACTAAGCCTCTTTATTTCTTTATCCTCTTGAGGTTAATTAAGTGTAAGTCAAATTCCAGCTCTTATCTCAGCACCATATCTTGTCAATTCTGTGTATTCAATATGGGGGTTGGGTTTATACTTATTTTTAATTTCTTTACTTTTCTTTTAATTTTTATAATATTTGATGCTTTAATATATTATTAATAATTTATTTGAAGCTTTTTAACTTTCCCTTTTAACCATTCCATGTACTCATGACTAACCTTTTCAGATTTCTTACAATACATTCACACTTTCCCTTAATCATTATACTCAAATAAATTAGTTAAATTAAATAATTTAAACATACTCTAATCATAAGTAATACATTTACACTTTCCCCTAAAAACAAACAAACATATATATATATCACCTCGCATTTATAAATATATAAGTTTAAATAAGCATATCAATAATTCATTTCGTACACCTTATAATCACCTCTAATTTCACCTTTAAAATAAATAAATAAATAGATAAATTTGCAAATACTAATAGTAATAATCATTCAATAATCAACTCATATTCATAATTAAGTGGGTCTAAATACGAAATCCAATATTTCATTTCCTAAGCCAATACATTTCTGGTCAGTCATCCAAATAAATAAGTTTAAATAGAAACATCAATACTTCAGTTCATAAACCAATACAGTTCAGGTCAAA